TTTAGACTCTGGAGGGAAATGTAGTGAGTGATGTTCTGAAGACCCAGCATACTGGTACAAGTATGGATTGTGAGAATGAACCTCAGAGCACATATCACATGTGTATTACCGTCTAACAAATGTTTATGAAGCATTTACATGAAACAACATAAAAATTCATGGACTTGGTATCAGAAGGCTTGGGTTTGAATTCTGCTTCTGTTACTTACTAGCTGTAGGACCTTGTTAGTATGCAAATAAGTGTGATATTTAGAATATAATCAAGAATCAACATATGTGGTACAGAAAAGGAAAACTATAGGAAGAAGATGAATCAGGGTGGCAGACACATTAGGGAAGGTTTCGTGAAAAAGGTGGAGCTTGAAATGGGCCTTGAAGCCTTGGTGGAATTTAGAAAATTAGAGAAACGGAGGCATTCCATGTGGGAAAACGATATGAGCAAAAGCAAAAAGGCAACAATATGTGGTTTATATAAGAACAGTGAAGATAAAAATTACTTGACTAGAGAGGAAGGTATGTGTTGCGGAGTGGTAGGAAATAAGATTTTTTACATTAGGTAGCAAGTAGACTTAGGAAAGTAGGTAGAAGCAGAGCTGGTTCATAAATGTATTCAGTGTCATGGAATGCTTTAGAAGGCTACTGACAGTTATTTCTCTTTAAAGAAACTTTTTCTGGGGCAGAGCCAAGATGATGGAGTAAAAGCAGTGACTTGCTTGAGCTCTCCCCCAAATCCCTCCAAATATGTGTAAAGAAATGGCTATAAACAAATTCTAGAGCAGTAGAACCCACAAAAAGACAGAGTAAAACAAATTTCCAGCCCAAGACAACCTGGATGGCTGATTAGAAAGATCTATTGTGCCATGCTGGGAGAGGAGTTCAGTTCAGCATGGGCATTCAGGCAAAACAGACCTCAGCAAACCTGGAGCAGGCCTCAGAGGACTGAATCATGGGCAGCTGTGGCAGTTTCAAGACTTCTCAACCTACAAACGCCAAAAACAACTTAGAAGGTCAGTAGGGAAGGTCTGTGACTGTGGTGAGAGAGAAGCTTGGTCCCAGTCCCTATCCTGTCTGCAGTCCCAGGGCAGCGGCTGCTTCCAGAGCTCTGAGCCCATAGACAGAGGGGGGAATTGGGTTGTTGATCACAGTGGGATTGCAGGGATCTTTTTGCTGGTGCTGAGGCAGGATCCTCTTGCTTTGCCTGCGCTTGGATCTGGGTCACATTTCTAGGTGAGGAGGAGTGCTGACATGGTAGAGCTTGTGGTGGCAGTGCAGAGGGACTCCTCACAGTTCCAAGGCAGAAAAGAGTGCTTGTGGTCACTCATAGAACAGAGCACAGGCCAAGAGAAGAGTAAACACCTAGCCCTTGATCATACCACCTTGGAAGAACTGAAAGTTTACAGGTCCCTAGAAGTATCTCTGAAAACAGTTGCACAAAACCCCTGAAGCTTGGGACAGTACATCCTCCACACTGGAAGCAGACCCCTACCTTAACAAAGAGTTTAAAACTCAAGTAAATGGCTGAGAACACGAGCAAAATGCACAAAAAAGTCACTCCATAGAATCTTTCTTTGGTGACAAAGAAGATCAAAACATACAACCAGAAGAAGACAACAAAGTCAAAGTTCCTACATCCAAAGACTCCATGAAAAACCTGAACCAGTCCCAGGCCATGAAAGAGCTCAGAAAATGATTTTGAGAAGCAAGTAAGAGAAGCAGAGGAAAAACTGGGGAGAGAAATGAGAGTGATGCAAGAAAATCATGAAAAACTAGTCAATAGCTTGCTAAAGGAGACCCAAAAAATACGGAAGAAAATAACACCTTAAAAAATAGCCTAATATAAATGGCAAAAGAGGTCCAAAAAGTCAATGAGGTGAAGAATCCCTTATAAAGCAGAATTGACCAAATGGAAAAGGAAGTCCAAAAGCTCACTGAAGAAAATACTTCCTTAAAAATTAGAATGGAGCAATTGGAAGCTAGTGACTTTATGAGAAATCAAGACATTGTAAAACAAAACCAAAAGAATGAAAAAATGGAAGACAATGTAAAATATGTCAATGGAAAAACAACTAACCTGGAAAATAGATCCAGGAGAGATAATTTAAAAATTATTAGACTATCTGCAAGCCATGATCAAAAAAAGAGCCTAGACATCATCTTTCAAGAAATTATCAAGGAAAACTGATATTTTAGAACCATAGGGCAAAACAGAAATTGAAAGAATCCACTGATCACCTCCTGAAAGAGATCCCCAAAGGAAAACTCCTAGGAATATTGTAGCCAAATTCCAGAATTCCCAGGTCAAGGAGAAAATATTACAAGCAACCAGAAAGAAATGATTCAAGTATTGTGGGAACACAATCAGGATAACACAGGATTTAGCAGCTTCTACATTAAGGAACTGGAGGTCTTGGAATATGATATTCCAGAGGGCGAAGGAGATAGGATTACAACCAAGAATCACCTACCCAACAAAACTGAGTATAATCCTTCAGGGGGAAAAAATTGGACATTCAGTGAAATAGAAGACTTTCAAGTATTCTTGATGAAAAGACCAGAGCTGAATAGAAAATCTGACTTTCAAATACAAGACTCAAGAGAAGCATGAAGAGGTAAACAGGAAAGAGAAATCATAAGGACTTATTAAGGTTGAACTGTTTACATTCCTACATGGAAAGATGATATTTGTAACTCATGAGACTTTTGTCACCATTAGGGTAGTTGGAGGGAGAAAAAATTGTATGTATAGATAGATTGATAGATAGAGGCTACAGGGCGAGTTGAAGAAAAATGGATGATATTTGGAAAATGAAATTAAAGGGCGAGAGAGGATTATACTGGGAGAAGGAGAAAGGGAGAGGTAGAATGGGGTAAATTATCTCACATAAAACAGACAAGAAAAGACTTTTCAGTGGAGGGGAAGTGGGGGAAGGTGAGGGGGAATGAGTGAATCTTATTCTCACTGGATTTGGCTTAAGGATGGAATAACATACACACTCACTTGGGTATGGAAAGCTATCTTACCCTACAGGAAAATAGGGAGAAGGGGATAAGAGAGTGGGGATAGGGGAAGATAGAGAGGAGGGCAGATTGGGGAGGGGTAATCAGAAGCAAACACTTCTGAGGAGGGACAGGGTCAAAAGAGAGAATAGAATAAACAGGGGGCAGGTTAGGATGAAGGGAAATATAGTTAGTTTTCCACAGCATGACTACTATGGAAGTGTTCTGCATGACTACACAAGTATAACCTGAATCAAGTTGCTTGCCTTCTCAATGAGAGTGGGTAGGGAGGGAGGAAGGGAGAAAATATGGAACCCAAAGTTCTAAAAACGCATGTTAAAAAACTGTTTTCATAAGCAACTGGGAAATAAGATATACAGGCAATGAAGTATAGAAATCTATCCTGCCCTACAAGAAAATAGAAGAGGAAGGGTATAAGAGAATGGAGGGGAGATAGAAGGGAGGGCAGATTAGGGGAAAGGGTATTCAGAATGCACGCTGTGCTGGGGTTGGGGGAGGGATGAGATGGGGAGAAAATTTGGAACTCAGAATCTTGTGGATGTAAATACTGAAAACTAAAAATAAATTAACGAATCATAAAAAAATGCAGAAGAAGAATCTGAGTTTGAAGCAGAAGAAGGCTACTGAATTGTGAATGTGTTCAATAAAGCAAACAAGAGTTGCAGGAAAAAAAAACCTTTTTCCAGAAATTTAGCCAATATTGGCTTAGACTGGTAGACACTCAGGAAAATGTTTGGGAAACCTGGAGACGTACATAAAAGCATAAATTCTACCCCAAACAGAATAAGATAGGAAAAAACCATTTCCTTTAATTCCTTTTCTGAAACTGAATTTTGTTATCCTGCAATAGATCTTACTAATGTATTTCCCAGTTTCTGGTTTCTCCTTTTTCTAGTTAATTTTTCATATTTGTGCCAGGCTGTTATTGAAACATTGCTTCTCTTAATGTTAGTGCCTTCCCTTTATTGATTATCTTCAATTTATCCTGCATAGATCTTGTTTCTACATAGTTGTTTGTGTGTTGTCCTCTCCATTAGACCATGAACCTCTTGAAAGTAGCAACTGTTGAGTTTTTGTTTTTGTTTTATCTTTCTTTGTTATCTCCAGCACTTAGCACAGGACCTAGAACATGGCAGGTGTTCAAGAAATGCTATTGATGGCCTGACTAATTTTTGTCCTATCATTCTTCTCCTCAAAGTTTCAATTCCTGCCTATTTTCTATTGTGTCAAATATAAATCCTTCTGCCTGGTTCTCCAGGCTCTCGATAACTTGAACTTTCCTTCCAAATCCTCAGATACTTTACAAATAATAAACAGTCATTTTCTTCCATCAAAATAAGCACTCTGGGCTTCATGACTAGCTTAACCATTGTTTCTTAAAACAGACCATTTAAATGCCAGAGGACTCTGACCTCCAGCTCCCACCCCAGGGTTATATTGTTCTAATAGGTAAAAGTATACCATATCTAGCCATCCACAGTCACCTGATTATGTTCTACAGTCATATCCTATGCAGATACCCCCCTCCTCCTACTCCTCCCCATCTCCTGCAAACACATATACTTTCTACCTCTTGCTCTGGAAAACAGTAGTTAAAGACTATCATTATTTTTCAAAAGGGTATGTCAATTAATTTCTGTATGGCACCACTCATCCTTCCCATATTTCTTAGATCACAGCACATCTTCTGTAGCCACTATTTCCTATACATGTGGTCTTTACCTCTCAGAATATAATCTGCAGGGAGGGCAAGTACTGTATCTCTTTTGTCTGTATTCTTAAGGGTCAACATAGTATATGACACATAAGTGCTTAATAAATACTTTTTTCATTAATTCCTTCAAACAAACTAAAAAAACAAACAAATCACAATTTTAAGATCAGTAATTCCCAGGAGATACATATAAAAACAAGTTAAATTAAATATCTATTTATATACACTCTAGTGCAAACTATTTGCAAGAAGTTGAGGAGACACCAACCATCACCTTTCAAGGCTTCATCCAATGGGTGTTCTGAAGCAGGAAGAGAGTATACATTCAAGCACTTATTAGCCAGCAATCTGATTTCTTTCATAGGTGACTGCATACTTGTCACCACATTACTTTCCCTTAAAAGTGAAAGGGGGAGGAAAAGGGAAGAAATCTTAAATATCTTTTTATTGAAGAAAAATATCTTTATTAAACTCTATAGTTAGTTTTATCATGAAAGCAGTAAAAATGAAATTTGCATTGTCACAAAGACTTGGACTGGACTCCCAGATTCTTCAGAATATTGTTCAATTTGACTTAAATCTCTGACTTCTTTTAAAATACAAGATAATTTTGTTTTATTTGTATATTGCAATAAATTTCTATAGTTCAAACTGCTTATAGGATCCCATTTTTAATGTCTTGGGTTACAATAAAAGGAATACTAAGGGACACGGTATTGATCTGAAATTGTTGCATGCCATTATCACTTCACATAAGTATACATTACAAGGACCAAAATAGTAAAAATTCCCCATCTATTAACAAAAGAAAAAAAAGTTTCTTTTTTAAAATAGATCATTAAATTGTGTGAAGGTTTAGTGGCTTAGTACTTTGCCTATGGCAAGAGTTGGAAATTACTGGCAAAAACTTGAATTTCATAGGAACTCAAGCTCATTTCCTACCTTTGTGTCTTGACAGCACTTGGAAGGAAGGGCTGGCTGGCTACCTGTTGCTTTTTACAAAACCTTCTGTTGCTTTGAAGCACCTTTGTAATCTAAAAAAAAAGAGTGGGGGTAAATACAAATTTCCAGGTAGTTAAACAGAATTTTTTGGTGATTTTATTTTTTAGCCTCTATAAATGGTGTTGCTTCCACTAAAGTCTTCTTTTGATTTCTCACTGTGATGCGGAAGTGACTTTTGGTTCTCTGGTAGGTCCAGTCACGCTGGGAAAGTTTTGAGTATGATTTGGGCTGCTCATCTTATGTACCTATTATCAGAGGACCAAGAGAGCTAAGTTTGGAAGTTCATCCCCACAAGGATCATTGCTAGGGAATTCAGTTTTCCATTTTGTTTAACTACAACAGCAACTCATGGAGACTGTACATTGTGGCACGGATAAGGCAATGATATCTAGTAATGGAAGGACTACAAATAAAATTACAGGTCCCTGAAGGTCCTGTATAAGCAGAACTTAAAGAATTTAGAAAGTACCTGAATCATGATAGTTGGAGGGATTCTCTCTCGGATACACTTCACATAATCAACTGTTGCCTCAAGAATTGAAGCAGCATCATTCTTCCTCCCCTTTATATATGGTAAGAGAGTTCGCAGCTGCTCACAGCAATCCTTGATTCGTTCTCTGCTCAAAAATACTGTACATTAGGAATGAACCTAACCCTCTACTCCATTCTACACACATAACCAACCTTCTGGACTCAGAGGAGTCAATATTCCTTCTAATACAGGTTCATCAGGATACAATTGGCGCTTCACTAGGCACTAAAAGCTTTCAATCACTTACAGTACATCTTTACTGTGTTACTTCAAAAGGAGCACAGGAAGCTAGCTGTTCCAAGGATTAAACACTGTGTTACAGTATAACCCAGTGCTACATTTGTTCTACCCCTGTCACCTCACAGGGTTAATCAGTAGAGACTGAATTTAAGGGAAAGGACTGCAATACAGCAGTACTATGTTCAGGTAGTCAGGGAGAAGACATTTCTCACTGTTACTATACAGAAGCTGGTAGAATTCTTCTCCTTCAAGGCGGATGAACAGACAGAAACGTGGATGGCAAATAATAATAGCAATATGAACATCTCATATTTATACAGGACTTTGCAGGTTAAAAGTGCTTTTCTCACAACAACTCTGTGAAACAAGTTATGTAGCTATTATAATCTCCATTTTATAGATAAGAAAACTGAGGTTCAGAGAGGTTAAGGGAACTGCACAAGGTCACACCATTATGCCTCAAAGCAGGACTAAAAACTTGGTTCTGATTCCAAGTCCAATGATCTTCCCATTACACCTGTCTTGACATAAATAAATTCCTGAGTGGATGGAGAAGACCCAAGAACTTACCAATTAGTCCTTTGTAATACATTTAATTTACACATAACTTTTTAATCTATGGAAAACAAGGAGACTGGGTCTTTTAGTTAGAACAAATCATGTAAACTATGAGAGCCTGCTGGCCTGATTTCAAACAGAAATTAGACTAAGTTGGTAAGAATTTGAGTAGAAGTTGTAAAGGAAATATATGAATCTTCAGAGGAGAAATTTTTATTCCTTCTACATGTCTCCCTAGCTTACAGCAAAGCAGCCAGTATACTGTGGGTGCTTGATTAAGTGCTTGCTGATCAATGAAATACGAGATTAAATTGAACAAAGAAAAAGTATTCACTGCAATCAGATCTTAGCAATAATGAGGAGGGTTACTGAAATTCTTTTGAAAACTGATGATGGTTGATCTTATAAGAAAGGTTAAAACAGGTCACCACTAATAAATATGCACCAACTTCTATCAGGAAAAAAAAAAGCCTCCCTTCTTGTGTTTAAAAAAATGGGGAACAAAAAATATAGTGCAACCAAAAAGCTTAAATAGATATCTATCTTTCATATCATACATGTCAGCCTGACTCTGACCAAATCAGACCAACACTGAAGAAGAGCGAGTCTGTTTGCAATTCATTTCCGACAGAGAAAAATCCTAGGAGGCTGTTTGGATTCAAATCAGTTGATTGGGCCCTTTTTGGGCAGATACAAACTTCCAAGAAATAAATAATATTTTGGACTTCAGATCACTTGGGATGGGCAGTTGGATTCCCATGATTCTTCTGGTTCCATCTTCTTTGAACGACTACAGCTTGGTCAAGCATAGGATTTACTTTCATGGGTGGGGAAGCAAGGATGCTAACCTCACTATGTTCACTCTGATATGAACGGAACTTTGAAAATATTACTTCGTTACTATATTTCAATCCTTCTATTCCTGCTTCATCTATCTTTGCCACAAAGCATGCAGACCCACTGACTCAAAAAAACAAACAATAAAATAGCTAGGAATGAATTAAACATTGACATTAATGTGAGATTTCAGCAATAAACACATTATGTATCTCATCTCTGACGGCTGGCTTCTCTGACTTCATGGCCCAGCTATGATCTCATTTTCTACCAGAAGCCTTTCTCCATCCCCCTTTAATCTTAGTGCCTTCCCAAAGCTATGATCTCCAATTTACTTTACATGTGTCTTTTTTGTAAATAATTATTTGTACACTGTGTCCCCCATTAGATTGTGAGCTCAAGAGCAGGTAGTAAAAGTAAAGCCTTTCTTTGTGTCCTTAGCACAATGCCTGTCATTTATCAAAGACTTAACAAATGCTCATTGCACTGACTTTACTTTTACTCATGTACAAGTGTACACGTGAACTTTTTTTTAACTAAGAATATTTTCAAGAGGTCAGAATTATTTTATCAGTCCATCAATGCCAATCAATTTCATCTTGCCACTTTGAGAATGGTCAGTTTTATTTTGTGGCAAGACAGGGTTAACTTCCTGCTTGCTTCCTCTGTAACTCCTTGTTGGGGGGAGGGGAGGAGCCCAGAAGAAGATGGAGAAGGCAGTTACAATTCCTTTACAACCTCACAACTCAGTAAACAGATTTTCTTGGAAACTCAGTATTTCTAGTCCTTAAATGATGCCATTGACAGAACACTCTTTAGTCCATTAGACATTAGGCCTCTATTCAGTAACCATAGTGACTAGTTTTTACATTGACTTTTAATTTTTTTACAGTACCATCAGTTGAATTATAAACACCATAAATTTAAGTTTTCACTACAAAGGGAACAGTGGCACAAATAACTACATATAAATTCACCTTCTCAGCTTTTCTTTGCTTGAATGAAGAAGAGAAATCTTTTTACTTTTCCTGGAATCAGACAATGAAGTCTTTTGTCCAACTCCGTGGTTGTCTCCTAATGCATTGGAACTAGAAACAAAAACAAAGCATACCATAAAGGGTCAAGGGCATAAGTAAATGGCCTAGCAAACCTATACAATACCTAAAGGACATGGTTCACAATCTTGTTCAGTATTGTACATTTCAAATCACACAGTACTTATTCCAACCAGAACTTTTCTGCTTAACTATTTCTAAAATATTTACTATCACAATATAGTAGTTGAAACTCAATAAATACTTGTTTAATTAACTGAGCACTCCATTTTCCAAATTATTGTTCATTTATTTCCTCGTTATTGCTTTTCATTGTTGTATAATAGTACATATTCTACCGGAAACATAAAGTCATTATGGGCAGGTGGGAAGGAGGGAACGATAGCACATCATGTATTAATAAGAAAAATAAACAGACAGAAATTAAGCATTTTATTCCCTGGTTTATTGCTAATAATTTGAAAATTCAATACATTTTAGACTTCATTCACTCAACATTTACTGACCATCTACTGTTTGTACTACACTCTTAAGTACTTGGTTTAGTACAAAAGAAACAGAAAACATGGTCTTCCCTCAAGAAGTTTACAATCTAATTTTAATGGCTTTGGCTCAAGTCATATAAGTTATTGTTTGAATGAACAATTTACTACTAATTTTCATATTAGTGTGAAACTTTCAGTAGAGATAATCTGCCATGTGAAAAAAAAAAGATAAACTTGCTCCTTAAACCCTATCATTTACTTAAAGAGGTCTTACAGACTAGCCACTTGATAAAAAAAAAAAAGCAGCAGCAGATGATGGCGTACTAGTAAGATATTCTATGCTTTCCAAGCTTTTTCTCCAATCTCTGATCATAAATAGTACTAGAGAGCTTACTTTTTTAATTCAGAAATTAAAACCTTGAAACGTGCCCATGAATGGGAAAGCCTTTGTAATATAAAGGCTGTCAGTCCCCCTTTAAACTATCCTCACTGGCTTAGGATAAAAGTAGTCAACTCTAAAATCACTCATTAGTTGTCTCCCAATAAATGTGAAGGCACTATTATCAATATTATCAAAAATATTAGAAGTATGACCAACAAGTACAAACTGTGACTCACCTATTACTTTATTCAGTTAGAATATGTGTAGTTGTGTAGCCATTCTTTAAAGGGTCTGTGGTTGGCTGTGATTCCATTTCAGATATTCTTATGTTATATTTAAAGAAATCCTTGGAAATTTAATCAGAACAAAAATATGAATCTATTAAACATTGTATAGAAGGTTATTCATGAGGGGTGTGGGGTGTGTGTGTGTGTGTGTGTGTGTCTGTGAAGTATCTTCTTTCTTTCAAGACTCTACTTGAGTTCTACTTCCTTTATGACCATTCTCTATGACCTTGACAGGCTATATACCCTGTCAGATTCTGTGCATACAGTCAGTAAAGACAGAGGATGCCCTAGAGAAAGCTACAGGAAAGTTAAGAACAAAACAAAACAAACAAACAAAAAAAACCAAAATGGGGACTTAAGATGTCTTGAGGAATGGCAATGATGAGAGTAGTGTAACACCATTTAGACTGCAACATCCCAGGGGTCCAGAGGCTTTAAGGACCCAAACATTTTGAATTCATGTGCCATAGAGAGCCCTAAAGATCTAGTTTTCTGAACCACAAAGATCTAGGGGTAAATCCTCAGAACTAGAAGTCAGTGAAGAGACTCTGGTGACTCAGGGTAAGACAAAGCAGGACTAACTATTTCACCTAAAAAACAAAGCAAGAACAAAGCCTGGCCATGGAACAAAATCTCAATTCAGGAATAAAATCTGAAAAGATAAATAAACCAAAGGAAATAGCAAAGAACATGAGAAAATACTGTTGATGTGGAGATCCATCTTCCTTAAAGAAGAAGAGAGTAACTATATACAAATTGAAAGCAGTGACTTAAAGAGAAAAATGGATTTTCCACAAGGTTTACATGATATCTAAAGGCAATGAAGCAAGACATTAAAAATAGAACAAAAGTTCTTGAAGAAAGAATTAGAGAAGATGGCAGAGAGAAGCCAGGAAGTTGTCTGAGCTCTCCCCAGTTTCCCTTGGAAACAACATTAAATGAAGCCTGTAAATGGATTCTAGAACAACAGAACCCACAGACAGAGTGAAAAAATTTTCCAGATTAAGATAACTTAGAAGGACTTCAGGAAAGATTCTTCTTACTTGGGTGAAAGGAGACCACAGCCCAACACAGACAGTGTCTGGGCAAGCCAGCAGGAGGCTCTTAGCTACAGCACAGATCAGCAACCAAGGCCCCTCGGTCCTGGCTCAGCAGGCTAGTAGCACAGCAGGCCAGCTGTGATGCCTCCAGCCCCAGTGAAGAAAGCAAACTGACAGCCCTGGAAGCCCAGCACAACAGGTGCAACTAGGCTGGGCCACCCCAGTGCAGTAGGCAAGCTGCGAACCCCAGAGGCCCCAGCAGCACGTCCTTAGCAAAAGAAGCTTAGGACTGTGCCCCAGGAGCAGAGCCCAACTTTAAAAGTCACAAAATAAGCTTAAAATGAGCAAAATACAGAAAAGACCTGACCATAGAAAGCTACCATGGTGATAGGGAAGAACAAGACACAACCTTAAAAGAAGACAGCAATGTCAAAATGCTTACATACAAAGGCTCAAAGGGGAATATGAATTGGTCTCAAGGCCAAAGCCTTCTTGGAAGAGCTCAAAAAGGATTTTTAAAAATTAAATAAGTAGAAGAAAAATTGGGAAAAGAAATGAGAGGTATGTAAAAGAGAGTCGATAGCTTGAAATAGGAAGAACAAAAATTGATTGAAGAAAACAATTCCTTAAAAAGTAGAATTGAACAAATGGAAAAGGAGGTACAAAAGCTAACTGAAGAAAATAATTCCTTAAAATTAGAAGTGGGCAAGTGTAAACTAATGACTCTATGGGACATCAGTTATCAGTCCAACAAAATCAAAAGAACGGAAAAAAACCCCAAAAGAATACATAAAATACATCATTGGGAAAACAAGTGACCTGGAAAATAGATCCAGGAGAGATTATTTAAGAATTATTGGACCACCTGAAAGCCATGATAAAAAAAAAAAAAAGAGTCTGGACAGCATCTTTAAGAATGATCAAGGAAAACTCCCCTGATATTCTAGAACCAGAGGGTAAAGTATTAATTAAAAGAATCCACTGATTACCTCCTGAAAGAGATCCCAAAATGAAAACTCCAAGGAATACTATAGCCAAATTCTACAATTATCAGGTCAAAGAGAAAATACTGCAAGCAGCCAGAATGAAACAATTAAAATATCATGGAGCCACAGTCAGGATTACGCAGGACTTAGCAGCTTCTACATTAAAGGATCAGAGATCTTTGAATATGATATTCCAGAAGGCAAGAGAGCTTGGATTACAATCAAGTACCAACTACCCAGCAAAACTGAGCATAAGCTTTCAGGGGAAAAAGATGAACATTCAATGAAATAAGGGACTTTCAAGCTTTCCTGATGAAAAGACCAGAGCTGAACAGAAAATGTGATCTTCAAATACAAGATTCAAGAGAAGCATAAAAAGGGAAACGGGAAGGCAAGAATCATGTTATTCAATAAGGTTAAACTGTTTACACCCCTACGCAAGAAGATGATACTTACAACTCTTGAGAACTATATCTCTGTCAGGGCAATTAGGAGGAGTATGTATAGATAGAGGCTATTGGCATATTTTGATGTGATGATATATGAAAAAATTAAGGGGTAAAAAAAGGATTGTACTGGGAGAAGAGGAAAGGGGGAAGCAGAATAGGGTAAAGTACATCACATGAAGAGGCACCAAAGACCTATTACAGTAGAGGGAAATAAGGGAGGGAGTGAGCATTGTTTGAACCTTACTCTCATCAGATTTGGCTTAAAGAGGGAATAATATACATACTCAGTTGAGTATTACCCTATATGGAAGAAGAAGGGGAAAGGGAAGAGAAAAAAGGGGGGGGGCAATAGAAGGGAAAGCAGAATTAGGAGGGAAAAGGGGAAAGAAAGGGGAAGGAGGCTGACAGAAGGGAGGTGGTGGTAGGGGGACTAATACAAGGGAGGCACTGGTCAGAAGCAAAACACTGGTGAGGAGGGACAGGGTGAATGGAAAGAGAAAAGGATAAACAGGAGGGAGGAAATAGGAAGGAGGAAAATACACAGTAATCATAACTATGAATGTGAATAGGATCAACTCTCCCACAAAATGGAAGCACATAGCAGAGTGGTTTAAAAACCAGAATCTTATAATATGTTGTTTACAAGAAACATATTTCAGACAGAGAGATATCCACAGAGTAAAGATAAAAAGCTGGAGTAAAATATATTATGCTTCAGATGAAGTACAAAAAAAAAAGCAGGGGTACAATCATGATTTCAGACAAAGCAAAAGCAAAAATAGATCTAATTAAAAGAGACAAAGAAGGAAATTACATCTTGCTAAAAGGTACCATAGACAATGAAGTAATATCAATACTAAACGTATATGTACCAAGTGGTATAGTATCCAAATTCTTAGAGAAGTTAAATGAGTTATAGGAAGAAATAGACAGCAATACCATATTAGTGGGAGATCTCAAACTCCCCCTCTCCAAACCAGATAAATCTAGCCACAAAATAAATAAGAAAGAAGCTAAGGAGGTGAATAAAATTTTAGAAAAATTAGATATGATAGACCTCTGGAGAAAATTGAATGGGGATAGAAAGAAATACACCCTTTTTTATCAGTGGTAAATGGCACCTACGCAAAAACTTACCATGTATTAAGGCATAAAAACCTTACAATCACACACAGACAGGTAGAAACAGTAAATGCATCCTTTTTAGACCATGATGCAATAAAAAATTACATGTAATAAAGGGCCATGTTATAAAGACAGGCTACAAATTAATTGGAAACTAAATAATATAATCCTAAAGAATGAGTGGGTCAAACAACAAATCATAGAAACAATCAATAATTTCATCAGAGAACAACAATGAGACAACATACCAAAAATTTTTTTGATTCAACCAAAGCAGTTCAGAGGGGAAATTTTATATCTCTAAATGCATACACGAACAAAGTAGGGAAAGAGGAGATCAATGAATTGGGCATGCAACTAAAAAAGTTAGGAAAAAACACAATTAAAATTATACAATTAAATTAAGAACACAATTAAAAATCCCCAATTAAATACCAAATTATCTGAAAATTAAAGGAGAGATTAATGGAAATGAAAGAAAGAATGGGACACAGAATAACTAGCTTGGAACAGAAAATGGCAAATCTTAGACAAGTAATAGACTTTCTGAAAAATAGAATAAACCAAACATACTTCAACAACTCAATGAAACAGAAATAAATGTTAGGTCAAAATGAAAAAATTGAAGAAAAAAACAGAAGAAAATAATATATCTAGTATCATAAATAGCTAACTTGGAAAATGACTCAAAGAGAGATAATTTAAGAATCACTGGACTCCCTGGAAACCAAGAAAAGCCTGGATACTATATTTCATCATAAATGAAAACTGCCCAGATCTTTTAGAACTGGAGGGTAAAATGAAGATGGGAAAAATTCACTGATCCATTCCCCTAAGGGAAAAGGGGACAGAAAAGTCCCCAAAATACTACAGACATCCATAAAGAAGCAATTTAAGTACCAAGGAAACTCAGTCAGGATCATATAGACCTGGCAGCATCTACTATAAAACAGGAAAGCTTAAAATACAGTGTTCTAAAGGGCAAAACATATGGACTTACAACCAAAAATAACTTACTCTGCAAAGATGAATATAATCTTGCAAAGGGAAAAATGGATCTTTAATGGAAAAGAGACTTTCAAATACTGCTGATGAAAAGACCAGAAGTGAGAAATAGCTTTGAATTACAAACGTGAGTGAAAAGAAACTGAAAGCTAAATTCAGTTGAACAAACTGGAAGGAGCTTTATGATGATGCTGGGCTAACAATCTAATAGGAGGAGAAGAACCAAGGGTCCATTCAGAACCTGAATGTCTTCAAAGAGTACTGATCAAGTTAAATGAGAAATAGTGTTTCTAGGAAAGGAATTGTTCTGGGTTTTTTTTTTTTCTGGGGAGGAGGAAAGGTAACAAGAATATACTAATGGAGGGCATAGAAGGGGGCATTAAACACTTCTGCTGAGCTCTCCCAATCCAACCCTCTAAATAACTCTAAAAAATGTCTCAAATTCTGGGAGAAGTATTACAGTATCTCATTTTTCCAGCTTAGGAAGACCGAAAGATAGGTCTACTTGCAGATCCTGGTGTCTAGGCTGGCTGCTGAAGGAAGCAGCCCTCACAGTGGGGCCTGAAGGGGGAGGCAGCACCCCCAGTGGCAGCAGAATCAGCTATGGTTGTATCAAGAACTTTTAGTGCCTAAGGACAGTAAGGGGGCTAAATATCTGGTCAGAATGATATTACAGAGGACTCTTGTGCTAGCAATGGGTGCAGATTATCTGCCATTTGGTAGATCCTATGTCCATTACTCAGTTTTGGGTCACAGTTCCAGGGCAAAGGGGAGAGATTATGATCTATGATTGAGAGGGAGCAGAGGCCCTATCTAGGTAAAGACCAGAGTGCAGACCAGGAGAAATGTGACCAGAACTCTCCCTGGATCACAACACCTTGGACACTTTGAAAATCAAAGGCCCCCCAGATCTTGCCATAAAAGTATAGGCTAACCATCCTCGCCCCCTCCCCCAGATGAGCAGAGCCCAACTCAAATATAAATCCAAAGTCAAGAAATAGGCTAGAAAAATGAGCATACAACAACAACAAAAAAAAAAAAACCTGACCATAAAAGGCTTCTATGGAGACAGGGAAGCTCAAGACGCAAATTTCAGAAGACAATGACTTGAAAACATATACAAGCAAAGCTTCAAAGAAAAATGCATATTAGACACAAGCCCAAAAAGAATTCCTAGAAGAGCCAAAGAAAGAGCTAAAAAACAAGCCAAAAAATTTTAAAAAAAAAATCAAATGAGTGGTAGAGGAAAAATTGGGAAAGGAAATGAAAGCAAAGCAAGAAAAATATTAAATGAGAATTAACAACTTGATAAAAGAGGTATAAAATCCCATTGAAGAAAATTACTCTTTAAAAATAAAAATTGGTCAAGTAAAAGCTAATGACTCCATGAGACATCAAGAAACAATTTAAAAAGTAAAATGAATGGAAAAATTGAAGAAAATGTGAAATATATCATTGGAAAATCAACTGCCTTAAAAAACACAGATTGAGGAAAGACAATTTAAGAATTATTCAACTACCTGAAACCCATAATCAAAAAAAGGAGACTACACATCATATTTCAAGAAACTGTAAAGCAAAACTTCCAAGATATCACAGAACCAGAGATCAAAGTAGAAACTGAAAGAATTCATTAATCGCTCTCTGAAGGAAATCCCAACATGAAAACTCCAAGGAATATTATAGCCAAATTCCAGAGTTCTCAGGTTAAAGAGAAAATACAACAATCATCCAGAAAGAAATAATGCAAATGCACACAGCCACAGTTAGGATCCACAAGAATATACAAATATTCTTTACAATATAAATATTTATATTTTTATAACATACATTTATAATAAAAATATTCAAATAAACAATATACAAAAAGGAAGAAGGAGGGAGTGGGAGCTTGCTATTTCTCATAGAGTATGTAAGAATAAAAAGTATACAACACTGGAAAAGGGGATGGCAGAAGTAAGCATTTCTCTTATCTGAACCTCATTCTTATCTGAAACACATAAAGGGGGGCAGCTAGGTGGTGCAGTGGATAAAGCACCACCCCTGAAATCAGGAGGACCTGAGTTCAAATATGGCCTCAGACCAAACACTTGACACTTACTAGCTGTGTGACCCTGGGCAAGTCACTTAACCTCAATTGCCTAAAAAAAAAAGAGAGAGAGAGAGAAAAACCAGATAAAGGAGGGTTGAACACACAGACACAGACAGACAGACAGACACACATACCATTCATCCCTCATTCTTCCTACACAGCCATCTTTACTCTAGTTAAGGCCCTTATCACCTCTTGCCTAGATGATTGCAACAGCTCATTTGGTCTTCTTGCCTGAAGTCTTCACCCACTCTAAACCATCCTGCATATAGCTGCTAAAGTAATTTTCCTAAAGTACAGATGTGATCACGTCACCCTCCTACTGAGTGGAAACTCAATAAACTTCAGAGGTTTCCTGTTGCTTTTAGGCTCAAACATAAACTCCTCAGTTTGACATTTAAAGCTGTAGCCCCCTCCTACCTTTTCAGGTCTACTCATTGTTTTACCCACGTGATGCCCGTCTTCTGTATTGTGTCCAGGTCTTTGCACTAGCTGTCCCTCATGCCTGGAATGCACTCCTTCTTCACCTCCATCACTTGAAATCCCTGGTTGCCTTCAAGACTCTGCTCAAGCGACACATTTTTCACACAGTCTTTACTGGTCCCCCTGGATTCTTATGGACCTCTTCCCAAAACCATCTTATATTCATTCTGTTTATATTTAAACGGGTACGTATTGTATTCCCATTAAAATTCAAACCCCCTAAGAGCAGTGACTGTGCCTTTTTGCTTGTGTGTTCTCAGTGTGTTTAGCAAAGGGCCTGGTATACAATAAGTGCTTCTTTTTTTTGTAAATTTATTATTTATTTATTTATTTATTTATTTGCTTTTTGCAAGGCAATTGGGGTTAAGTGACTTGCCCAGGGTCACACAGCTAGTGAGTGTTACATGTCCAAGGCCAGATTTGAACTCAGGTCCTCCTGACTCCAGGGCTAGTTCTCTATTCATTGTGCCACCTAGGTGCCCCAAAACCTGTTTCTCTGATTCCTGCTGGCTTTTTGTTATTAGCTAGTTAAACCACCAAGAAAATTCACCTAATATCAGTATCCCCTAGCCAGTCAGAATCAAGGGTCAAATTTGAATTCAGGTCTCCTCAACTCTAGACCATTGCTCTAGCAACTGCACAATCTAGCTGCCTTAATAAGTGCTTCTTGATTGACTGAAATGAGATCATGCAGATAAGGATGTTCTGAAAACTATAAAGGACTAGAGAAATGTGAGGTATAATTAATGTTATTGCCACTACTCATCCTAGAAAAGTGGTCATCTAGTCTCTGAAGGGGCTTTCTCATAAAGCAGCCCATTTAACTTTTTTAACATCTCTGTGAGAAAGTTCTTCCTAAAATGGAAGTAAAATCTGCTTCCTGTATCTTCTCCCCATGGTATACCTCTGGTCTCATCCCTATTCCATATAATAGTATTTCTAACATTTGAAGACAGCTAGCATAGTCAACACTAGCAGGAGTCCTCTTTTCCCCAAGTTAAATGACTTTAGTTGCTTCAGTGGTTCCTCATATTACATTATTTTCTCACCATCCTAGTCACTAGCCTTGAGATGACTTATGGCTTCAAAAAAAATGTAGTCACAGTTCCCAGAACTCAACCCAATACTCCAGGTGCTACCTAACTCATTCAGAATATAGCAGTGATAAATTTCTAGTAATGCAGCCTCAAATTATGGTAAAAAAATTTTCAGCTGTGATATACTTTTGGCTTACACTAAGCATATGTGCAAGTTAAAATCACAGTCTCAACCCCTTTATTTTACTGATGAAGAAATAAGCTCAGAGAAATTGATTTACTCCAGGTTACGTAGGTAGTTAGTGGCAGAGTTAGGATTTTAACCTAGGTCGTCTGACTCCAGGCAGAGTATTATTGTGGCAAGTTTTCAGGAAAATTTTTGTTAAATAACTATTTAAGTTTTGTCAAAATCACATATAACTTTTTTTTAAGCACAAAAAAACTAACCTATGAGGGACTAGATCAGTGGAACCATCTCTTAGGATTTCATTAAAAGGTCTCTGTAGAGATGATCTGGAGTCTTCCTCTCTGATTTTATTTTCATTTTTAGCTGAAATTTAAAAGAGAACAATATAGGCTCTTTTTATTCAGAAAACACTGACAGAGTAGCTACTAATCAAATGCAGAAATTATAAGCTGAAATGTAGCTGTCACTTTTCATTCAATAGAGCTTAACAATATAATGCTTTTTAAATCAAAAGGAGCCTGCAAAATTTTTTTCTACAAGAACATTTAGATAAATCAGAATGAATAGAGCATGAAATAACACAAGGCATACGAAGAAAAACAAACAGGATACTACATGTTACAACTGCCTGTCTTCCAGCTAGGTTCTATCTAGAGTAACCCTATAACAGCTGAAGATGTGGCATACCCAAATGAGTAATGTATCCAGAGAAAAATCAAGCTCTGGTTTTCAGGTAAGTGTCTTGAGAGGCAAAAAATGTGCATGAGTGTGCAGTGGACAGCTGCACCATCAAAATATGACATTTAAAAGATTCGCTGCAGCTGCCTAGCCCTAGAGCAAGGATGAGATCAACTTGTAGTGTACAAGAATGAGTTGTAAATGTGAAAGGACATTGGACAGGTGCTAGAAAGCAGCTGTTCTATTTCCAGTATGAGAATGGTCTTGCAGAAGGGGCTTTTGGTCAGTGGTTAGCCATTTCTAGGAGCAGCTTGGAGACTGGGAAGTTTGCAAGACCCTGGAATGTTACTAAATCAGGTTCTATAATCACGTTCAAAAAAATTAAAGGACCAGGTAGCCAATTAAATGCCGTCCTCTCTGGAGATTAGAATTCAAATTGAATCCACTCAGTCTCTTTCAGCCCTATTTCTGTGGTTCTTCAAGCAGAGGTGCAATGTCACCTTTGTGAGGTTTTCCTAACTTAGGTACCACAGGGTTGGAAAGATCATCAATAGCCGTTGATGATCAATGATCCTAGTAGAGATAAAGTTTGGAAGCTGATTTTCACGCAAATCAGAATGGCAAATAAAACATTCAGTTAAACCGTTTAGATACCAGATATATTAAGAACAATGGAGTCAGATAATCTAAATTCTAATCATAATCTTCACTAACTGGTTAACTTTCATGAAGCTCAAATTTCTTTAAATGAAAAATGAGATATGAACATCTCTATGAAGTATACCTCAGCATCAAATATAATTGGATCAGGTCAGGTTATTGTAGATTTAAGTTGTACTCTAGAATGTAAGATACGTGAAGACAGAGACTTTTTGGGGTCTTTGTATGCCCCAAACCTAGCCTTGAACATGGTAGGTGTGAATCAGAAATGGGCTTATAAATGGAAGCAAAGCTGAAATTTGAGGAGAAATTCAGTGACAGCTAAGCATAAGCCACCAGAGAATCTAAAGTAGATCTTGATCCCTGATTTTTGGTGGAGAAGGATGAGGGAGAAAGCCTCCCTTTCCACATACCTTCACTCAACTCCAGTAAATGCATCACCACTTCAACCCCAGGGATGGTAGCATGGAGAGGCAGTGATAGAAACTCTTGGATGGAGAACTGGTAGGAGTAGTTAGAGCTTAGGAATTAAAGATCAAGTTGTCTAAACGGGAAGGGCAAAAAGGGATCGAATCATGAGGTTTCAAAAGAGCAAAACCTGGATTTTACCTTTTGCTTTTGCCATGTGTTATTGAAATGGTATAGGACATGTGGAAAAGGAATTGTTTTTCTAATAACCTAAGTTCATTTCCTTCCAAAGGGACTCTAAACCACTGAGGTTGGCACCATAAAGTTGTAGTCCTATATAGGTCCTCAGGACAGAAAATGAGAGTCCCTGGGGGAAGGAGAATGTTGTGGTTGTTATGAGCTCCTATAAGTCCTTTGTGATTTTTCTGCATTCTTTTTGTGGGGTGAAACAAAGGCTGTCTGCTAAGTCCTCTACCCAAATCTGTTGAGATCTAGAATCAAGGCATATGCTGACAATACATATGTCTGGGAAATGATTCAAAGAGAGATTTTGGGAGCAGCTCCACTCTACCCCGCAAAAATTGAAACTAGTTCATGTAAGCTTAGTGCCTGGACTTCAGAACCATAGAGTTACACCTATATGGCATACAACATTCACAACAGCATTGTATGTGGCACTATGAAATTTATTTTAAGCTACCCTATGAAGAAGTATCCTAATGTAGATACCTGGGTTCTCAGCTCTACCACTAATTTACTCTAGGACTTTAGAGAAGCCAGTTAACCTTTGGGGCAGGGGTTCTTGACTCTTGGCTAAGAAATATTTTTATAATTGTTTTTCAATATAACTTTTTAGTAATACTGGGTGTTTTATTTTATACATTTAAAAAAGTGATGCTGAAAAGGGGTGCATAAGCTTTGAACAGATTGCTATTTTGTCCATGATGCAAAACAGATACCTATTTCAGAACAGTAGATACCATTTTAAAGATACAATATAATATGTTATAAACCTCTGGAAATACATTTTTCACTTACCAGTTTTTGAGAAGAAGGTTTTCCAATAATTTAGTACAATACTCATTTTTTCCATTGTTAGTGGTTCTGTTAAAATAATATCTGCTCCATGGCCTGAAATACAATCTAAGAATATTTGAATTAAATATTGATCTAGCAGTTTTCATTTAACGAGAAAACAAAGAGTCTACCAGAGTGGCACATACCTTCAAAATTTTCAGGGATTATAAAAACAAACAGCAAGTGTATGTTTTTCTTTTTGCCAAATCTGGAGGGGAAAAACATCTAGTTAAAATGACAAAAAAAATCAATATTCTAAAATTCCAAGTTCAGAAGCTTAGTTTATCTAGAGTGGAAGAACAATGGCTTTCTTTGGGTGTCCTGCAGTTTAAAATTAGGACAATATGGCGAAACCTCATTGGTTCAAACTCCACTAATTCACAACCTATTACAAAACTGATATGGATTAGTCTGAGTTTGCTCTTCTATTTAGAAAAAGAAAAGACCTCTAACACTATGGCAAATAAGATTTTTGGGGAAATATTTTAAAACACCATATTTAAAGAACAAATTATTTTAAGCAGTAAGAAATGCTAGCTTGAATACATATATAATTTATATGCTCACTATAAAATATTTTAATCTCTTTAATAAAGTAACAGTAGCCTTGGGCCTCTAGAAGAAGGACCTTCTCTGCACCCTACTCCTGGTTGTTTCACCAACTGCTCTATGACCTTGGGTAAGTCACTTAATTTAGCCTCAGTTTATTGACCTGTAAGATTCTGCTGTGTTCAACTAAATCATCTCTCAGTCCTTTCAGTTAGACAAAAATATGATTCCATAATCATGATTCCATGATTCAAAACTTCCTTAAAAACCTCTGCCAGACAACACTGCCTTTGTCCTCAATGCCTAGCATAATGCTTGACACATACGTGCTAGGCCACGGGTGGGGAACCTGAGTTTGGTGCTTAATGTACTTATTAATTTATTTAATTATTTTATTTATTTGAAAAGTAACAAAATGGGGCAGCTAGGTGGTTCAGTGGATACAGCACCAGGCCTGGAGACAGGAAGACTTGGATTCAAATCTAGCCTCAGACACTTAACGGTGTAACCCTGGAGAAGTCATTTAACCCTTTTTGCTTCAGTTTCCTCATCTATAAAATAAGCTGGAGAAGGAAATGGCAAACCACTCCAGTGTCTTTGCTAAGAAAATCCCAAATGGGGTCACCAAGAGTCAGACACAACTGAAATGATGGAACAATAACAACAAAATGACATTTAAAAAATTACATAATTTGCTGACTTTTCACTAATTTAGACTGAACTTTCCCTTAAATTCTGTAACATATTTAACCCACAGGCATCAACTCAAATTGGATCCTGCTTTATGAGAGGAAAAGAGCTCTTAGGATTAAAGTATAGTTATCTATAAATAATGAGAAAGGAAGGCTCAAGAGAGAAGGTACATAAAACAGCTATTCTGAGGATGAGACAGGCAGTGTGGCATATAGCATAGCGGATACAACATTGGTCTTGGAGTCAGGAAGAATGGAGTTTGAACACTGCTCAAGACACTTACCAGCTGTGTAACCCTGGGCAACTCGCCTAATCTTTCTCAGCCTCAGTTTCCTCATGTGAAAAATGGGGATGATAATAACAGCTATCTCACAGGATTATTGCTAGGATTTTGCAGGTTTTAAAGTGGTGCAGAAATGTTAGCTGTTATTATTATAAAAGTTAGAGGAAAAAATGGGGGACTCCCACAGGACTCTTCAGCCCTCATGCTCTTTGACCTCTCTGAAAATTCCAACATTGTTGATTATACCATCCCTCCTAGATAGTCTTTCTCCTGTCTTGGCTTCCATGACACTATACTCTGCTGGTTCTTTTCCTTATTTGAAGGTTCTTTCTTAGTTTTCTTTGCTGACTCCTCATCAGTTTTCCACCTCCTAATCACAAGTCCCCCAAAGCTCTCTCCTGGGCCCTCTTGTTTTTTTTCTTCTACACTCCATCACTTGATCTCAACCACTCTCATCTATAAGAGGAGAGCTCTAAAATATTTATCCCTAACCTCTCTCCAGAAATCTAGACACACAATGGCAGCTACTTGCTGGTTAACTCTACCTAGATCATCAGTATCTCAAACTAAACATGTACAAAACGAAACATCTTCCCCCTCAAGTGACCCCTCACTCAAACTTGCCTATTTCTGTTGATAGTACCACCACCTTTCTAGTCACTGAAGCTGAAACATTGGTGTCATCAAAGACTCTTTCCTTTCATTACACTCCCATATCCCATTGGTTGCCAAGTCTTGTTGATTCTGCTTTCACAGTATCTCACACAGCCATCCTCTTTTTTTCATTAACATGACTCCAATCCTAGTCAAGCTCTCATCTCTCCTCCCCTGGACTGCTGAAATAATAAAGATCGTAACTGATCTTCTTCCAGTCTCTCCCCTCTCCAATCCTTCCTTCAGAGAGATGCCAAGTTAATCTTGTTTAGGTCCAGATCTGACTGCACACCACTCCTCTGCTCAAAAATCTTTAGCAACTACCTATTACTACTAAGATAAAATACAAATTCCTCAGTCTGTTATTTAAGGTCCTTAATAATCCTGGCCCTAATCTATGTGGCTAGAGGTTTCATATTACTTTCTTCATGTATATTCCAGTCAAATTAGCCTATAAAATTATTCCTCAAACTTGCCATTCTACTGCTATCTTCATGCATTTGAATAGGTAGTCTTTTTCCCATGCCCAGAATGCACTGCCTTCCTTATCCCTGCCTCCTACTATCCATATTGCACTTTAAAGTAAACTATCTCTTTTGCAAAATCTTTCCTGGGCTCCTGCCATTTAATGCTCTTTCTTTCCTTACATTTACATATTGTCTCCTAGCAGCATAAAGTAAGCAGAGAGCAGAGCCATTTCCTTTTGTTTTTATATTCCCCAGCATCTAACATGTAGTAGGCATTTAATAAACATTTGGTAAATTGAGTGGAGTACAGTTAATACTAATTGATTAAAAGGTTAATAAGAATAAGCATTTATTAATCACCTACTACATGCCAAGCATTGTGTAAAACATTTTACAGATATCTCACTTGATCCAAATATCAATATCTAAAAGGTATCGGCATGCTGTATTCCACTCCTAATGCCCTACTTCAATGATTCATCATTGCATGGAGGTGATTTTGGCTTTGTTAAGGCTCTTCCAGTTGAGAAATGACTGAAAGGTGCTACACCAAGATGCAAAATTTAAGTGTTAGCTTGGTGACTGGATTTATATCTTCTGTCATCTTTCTTTGATGTGTAGTAAGGACATAAGCTTCTTGAGAGCAGGGACTTTCTGCTTGTATTTATGTCCACTGCTCTAAGCTTAGTTTTTAGACTTGACCAGCCAAGCTATGTCTAGAAAGCCTTATCAATATAAGGCTGGCCTTTATGTGATGAGTTTCTTTGACTATAGAACTTTAAAATAATATTTATTAAGTCATGATGGAGTTGTATTGATAAAACCACAGGTCCATTAAAACAAAATAAGAGTTGTCATTTGCATTAGTGGAGGGAGTGTCCAAATGGATGAAACCAAAGATCCCTGAAATATTCAAGTGCAGTCAGTTCTGCTTTCATGCGTGTTTTGAACACGTGAATTTGTTCCAATGTGATAGATAAATTTGGGAATAATTGAAATATAATGCAAGTTTATTTGTGCACGATTTCCTCAGCAAGAAACAGAAAACCACACCCAGCTAAACTTTATCATCCCGACTAGACTAAAAGCTTTCTGAGGGCTGGACTCAAATCAAAACTTAATTTCCTTTGTCAAGTATAGTGACTTATACATATAGCAGATGCTTAATAAATGTTTTTGAAATAATTAGATGAAAGAATAAGTAGCAAAATAGAAGCAAATGCGAAGAGAGATGAGTTGCATACTTGGAGGGATAATAGTGGGGCATTTGGTTCAGCTTTTGAAATAAAAATTATTTTTCAGCTCAGAAAAATAATGCTAAGAAATTTCCTCAGAAATATTTTGCACATGAAATTTCAGTTTCAAAATATCATTATGGATGCAAATTAAAACAATTTTGGAAAAGGAAAGTAACAAATGGTGGATGGGATATGGGGAAAATGGGGCATTAATACACTGTTAGTGGAATTGTGACCTGATTCAACCATTCTGTAGAACAATTTGGAATTATGCCCAAAGGCTATAAAACCATGTATATAACCCCTTGACCTATCAATACCACTATTAAGTCTGTAACCCAAAAGAGATTAAAAAAAATAAAAAGGTAAAGGACCTCTATGTACAAAAATATTTATAACAGCTCTTTTCTAGGGGCAAAGAATTGGAAATTGAGGGGATGCCCATTAATTGAGCAATGGCTGACTGAGCATGTGATTATGATGGAATACCATTGTGCTATGGGAAATGATAAGTGGGATGTTCTGGGAAAAGCCTGAGCTGATACAAAATTAAAGGTACTGTGTACAAAGTAACAACAACATTATAAAATGATCAACTGTGAATGACTTAACTATTCTCAGCAATACAATGGTCCAAGACAACTCTGAAGAACTTAAGATGAAAAATGCTCTCCGTCCCCAGAGAAAGAACTGATGGTGTTTGAATACAGATTGAAGCATACTTTTTTTAACTTTATTTTTTTGAGGTTTTTTTTTGTCTATGTTTTCTTTCACAACATAACTACTATGGAAATGTTTTGCATGACTACACATGTATAACCTATATTGTATTGCTTGCCTTCTCAATGGGGTAAGGGGAGGGTGGAGAGGGAGGAAGGGAGAGAATTTGGAACTCAGAGTTTCAAAAATGAATGTTAAAAATTGTTTTTACATGTAACTGGGGGAAAATAAAATACTAAATAAAAAGAAAATTTTAAATACCATTACATATTTTTTTTCAAATAATTAGATGACTAAAGTAGCTTGAAGCACATACCAAAATGCGACAGACTTCTGCACATGGATTTATAGGCACCAGTTTTAGATTATGAGCTTAAAAGCAGAGTCAGCACTTTGGTCTTTGGGGCATTAGTACAGAATCAACTGCCAACCAAGACAGCTTGCCTCCTGTAGATTATAGATTGTAGATTTGTATACAGACACATTCAATAATCAGTAGAGTTCCCAGAATCCAATATTCTGCTCATAACTGCAACTATTCAATCATATTCTCTCCCAATAAATAAATTAAATTAGACACCTGGGTTTACAAGGCATCAAGATA